CTGCCTTACACTCTTCCACATACACTAGACTCATTCTCGCTTCTGCATATGTTCCCTGCCACCACTGGCGTCTGTGCATGGCTACTTCCCTCACCGTTTTTAGGTCTGTTCTCTCCAGCTGCCATCTCCTAAGAAAGGCCTTCCCTGTGCTTTCTTTGACTGAGCCATCACCATCTATCCCTATCGACTTTTGTATCTGCTAACTCTGGTTTTGTTTTTTGTTTTTCACCAGCTGAAATATTATATATTTCTTTGGGGGTTTTTTCTTTGTTTATATATCTGGTAGGTCATCCAGTGACAATATGAACCCCTTAAGGACAGGGACTTTGTCTATTGGTTTCTGTTAAGAATTTGAATATTCTTACCACATAGTAGACACTCAGTAAATGTGTGCTAAGTAAATGAATGTTCCTGAGACCATTCCCCAATTCCCCCTGAGAACTCCAGTCCACTGCCTATCCATCGTAGACAAACATCTCAATGGTTAAATTTTCCTTCTGATTCATGACTGAACTGCATCTCTTGTCACTGATTAAAAGAGTTTATTTCCTAACAGACCCACTCACTACTTCCACTCTAGTTAGTGAGCAAGCTTGTCTTCCTTCTTCTGTAATGAACTAACACATCTCTGCCTTTGTCACTATCTACATGTGCTTCAGGTCCCAAATGAATAACTGTTGCAAGGACTTCAATTCTTTAAAAAGAAAAGTCCCCTATTAAAACAACAACAACACATAATTGCTTTTTCTCCTGAGATATTTTTATACTGTGTCCCTAGGGAAGTGTTCCAGCTGATGGCCCAGTACAGGGCAGAGGCCCATAGACAGACAGTCTGGCTCCAAATTTTGCTCTGTGTTAACATAGTATTTAGATATAGAGAGCTGCTGTACTTGAACCTGACTTAGTCATATGATGGTAACATCCGGTTTAGAATCACACATTTAAGGGGCAAAAGTTATTCATTATTTTCAATTCGTTCTCTTTCTCTCTCTCTCTCTCTCTCTCTCTCTCTCTCTCTCTCTCTCTCTCTCCCTCTCCCTCTCTCTCTCTTTCTCTCTCTCTCTCAAAACAAATGTCTTGGGAGTAGTTTCAGTATTTTAATAGAGCAGAGCACAGAGAAAGTTGGCAGAAGTTCAGTTTGCCCCATATTAAACTCTGCTGTAGACACTTTGAACCTATTAGAACTGTTATATATGTAAAATATGCATCAGAGCTTCCTGTTGGTGCCTTTATTATCCCACTTTTTTCCTCTGTCCAAGTTTTCACTATCACTTAATTTCAGACCCTAAACTCAACACTCCCTACAGGTAAACTGAAAAAGGCAGTAACTCTTGATTCATAAGGTGCCCATATTTCTACAAACATCTAATGAAAATGAGCAAACATCTCTGTATAAAACTTGGGTTCAGTCCAGAAGTATATTTAACTCTCAAATGCCTGATAAAACCATGGAATTGCAGGCGCCGGCAGCTCTTTCACAGTAGTCTGGCAAGGCCCAGCGAGCCCAACACTTCAGAGACCTTTCTAAGGCGACCCCCACCAAATCCCTGCTCATCTTTCTTGGATTCTTACATCTGTGGGTCCTTTAGCTAGAAAAATGTGATACTGTAATCCACTCACTTAGAATCAACTCTCCCAAGGACTTAGTAAGATGGGGGAAAAGAAAGTAAAATTAGATGTTTGAAAGTCAGCCCTCACTAGACATTCTCTTAGAAACTAGATTATCACCTCTTACAGGCATGGTTTTCCTTGGCTTGTGGCATAACTATCCTTAGCCTGTCTGTGCCAAGCCTTTGACATGGCAGATGAAACCCCTCCCTTTAGATAAGCCTTACTCTTTGGAAACCTTGGTAAAACACAGCTAGTTTACACTACGGCAAACCGCAAACCTAAACTTTCCTTGTTCACAAATAATATTTTGCCAAAGTGCTTACGAAGTCCTAGCTCTCCCAGAGTGTGTGTTGTGGGATTGCCATAGCTTGATAAACAAATGAGCAACCCCTTCAAGTGCCATGGAGTTGTATTCCCACTGGAGTAGGAATGCTCAAACACAGTTTTCATCATACCATACGCTGTGCTTACTTGTTAGAGAATTATTGTTGGTTTTCTAAAAGTTATATTTGTTTGCATGCTTATCAGATGCACAAAATGCATTTTTCGTGGACTTTCCTATCACTACTGGGGTAGCATAGAGAGTTATGTACTTCAGAAGTGTGGAATTGATGAAAGTAACAATCAAAGGAGAACAGTATATTTTCTTCCATCCCCATAAATCTGATTTGTCAATGCAAAGAATGTGAGGTCTAAACATAAGAAAGTCAATAGTTTTATTTAAAACTTAAAGAAGAAAAACTGGCAAATTGTAGGATAAGAATTTAAGCAACCTAATCTTGAGAAGGAAAACCTTTTAAAGAAGACATTCTGAACCCCCATGTGAAATATATATCTTTAGGGCAGTAATCATCAGAAACATACGGAGGAGTGTGGAGCTCAGTTTTATTGTCCTGCATCAGTGAACATTCCTCAAAAGCACAGAGCGTCACTAATGGAATTACATGTTTTCATGCTATAATTACATTTGATTTTTCCTGATATTTTTGTAGACATATTGTTCATGGTCCCATGACTATACAGAATATTTACAAGTTTTCTATGTTTTCAGCCTATGCAACCCCCAACCCAAAGAGAAAGGAATTTTTTTACACAAAAAAGACAAATGTATATTTTTACAACTTTTATTCAACCTTTAGAGATTTTCTTTCAAAGATAACAAAAACATGAACAACATAAAGAAATAAGAAAAATAAGAATTCTATACTTGAAGGAAGCAGAGCAAGAGAGATCCCTCTGAATTCTGAAAGACTTTGAGACCAAAAAAATAAAAATAAAATAAAATAAATAAAAAAGCTTCATATTTTTGTTCTTGTTCTTGAATGACTCTTTTTGAATAAAATGGAATTGATTTGATCTTTGGATATGTTTCTCCAAATGATCCTGACACTGGAAGACAGATGAACCTAGCAGTAGAGTCCTCCTTACTAAAGGACACAAGACCAGGATACCATCAGGGATGTGAACAATGGATATCTGTTTTCAAGAAGAGAGAATCTTGAGCTATGAATTCCACAGAAGTCTCTGAGGAAGAGATGTAGACAATTAGAAAATTATGCTGACATTTAACATATTCTTACTGTCCTTTCTTTCCCTTCTCCAATATCAAGTCTTGGCTTTACTCAACACACCTCAGTGACCTTTTTCTTTTCTTAGCTTAGCACTCAATTCCTATTCTCTAGCTCTTAATCACTACAAAATATGAGGTGACACTCACTTCAAATATATTTACACTCTAGGGCAGTGATAGCGAATCTATGACACGCGTGTCAGAGGTAACACGAGAACTCATTTTTTTGGTTGATTTTTCTTTGTTAAATGGCATTTAAATATGTAAAATAAATATCAAAAATATAAGTCTTTGTTTTACTATGGTTGCAAATATCAAAAAATTTCTATATGTGACACGGCACCAGAGTTAAGTTAGGGTTTTTCAAAATGCTGACATGCCGAGCTCAAGAGGTTCACCATCACTGCTCTAGAGTGTTCCCCTCAAAGCATTATGGAAATAGGAAGAAAATTGGTTGTTGCAGCATAGGTGTAGAATGAGGAGGGGCTTCTATTTGCTAAGTGAGATAAGTTCAGGGGTGTATATGAATACTACTGGGCCCGACCTGGATTGTGTATTTTATCATAAATTAATATCAAGTTAGCATTACATTTTCCCAAGTTAAAATACATTTCTTGAAATGTCATTTATTAGACCATTGAAAACACAAGTTTGGTACTCTCTCCTTAAATTCTTACAATCTGGCTCCTGGCCCAGCCACTTAACCTAAATCATCCTCTGAGGTCTTCCAAAAAGACTTCTCAGCCAAACAAATAGTATTCTTCTAGATTTGTCAGCTTTATTCAAAACCATATTCTCCCTACTAACAGGCTCATTCTGGTCTCAAATTCTGAGGGTTTGTTCCATCTAGGTTTTCTATTTTCTGTATCTTCAGGGTCATCACTGTTGTAGTTCTCTTTAGAGATCATTCCAACTTTGATCTTTTAAACACCATGTTTGAACATGAATTACTTCCCTAGCCCAATCCCTACACCCTCCTTACTTTTTAGTCTTTCGCTTCTTGATGCCAGGCTTTCAACTGTAGTTGGTCATGGTAAAGTACGAACTCTGGTCTTATTTCTCAACCCCTTGCTGCTGTGTAACATCTTGGTTTCTATAAACAAAAAATAAGTCACTTGACTCCTTACTAATCCCCATACTTTCATTAAACTTCTAAGTGTATATATTTTCTACATAGATTACATCTACTGAATTAATAATTCCTTTCGTTATCCTCAACCCTTCTCTCTTTATTCCTAGTCAAATGCAGGTTAGACCAATCTATACACTCATTGCAGATAAATATTGCCTGTTGACCAAAATGAAGTTCATAATTAAGTGGTGGTTTCACCGTGCTCCACCAGCTCTTCGTATCCTGCCTCCAGGTGACATTGTCTGCTCAAGTCCTGCAAACATCCAGTAGACCTACTTTTCTCCCAGTCCTAATTCTTATGTATCATTCTTTAAAGGAAATCCTTTCTTATTTTTAACGTCTGTAGCATTGTTCAGTATTCCATCCAAATACATTTCTCCAAAGGACTGTCCATGGAGTATATGTAGACCGGATCCTCTCATAAACATACAGATTTATGTCAAAACTTTCCCTAAATCATTTTTATGTGCACATAAATTCCTATAAATTCACAGATGCATCTGTATACTTATTATGTCTTAAATGAACCCTTGGAAAGGTACCTTTTCAGATAGTTGGGAAATCTTTTGAATCTTAAGTAAAAATCTGTCGTCATCCCATCCCCACAACAATATGCACTTAAAATATGTTTAATAATAACTGTAGTTACTGAAATTTTACCTCACTGTGTGTGTATTTTCTTCTCAGGATCCTCCCATGGCTGTAACCCTTGGACTCCGAATGGAGGAAATGATTTTTAATCTTGCTGATACACATTTATTTTTTAATGATTTAGAGGTAAGAATTTTAAAAGTTAAGAAAAGTTGTATCCAACTATTAAAATGTTTGGATGGTTTCTATAACACCAGATAACCTCAAGAAAACTTAAAGATAGAAATTTAGCATAAGAGAAGAGTAAAGTTCCTGTCAAGGGGAAATTTGTATATATAAATGCAAACAAAAGCTAAATTTAGTTAACGAATTGTACATATATCCTGGCACAGAATTAGAACAGAAATATCTCAGATCTGTGTGCGTTCAAATACACTGCTCTTCATCCTGTTAGTGTCTCAAATACAATCCATGTGCACTTTTGGAATTAGCATTAGCTTTTTCGGGATATAAACCAGGATACTCTTTAGGTTAATCACTGGACAGTAGTCTGAGATGCTATTCATGGTGCTAACATGGATCATTACATTTTGTAGATAACTTGACACCTAATTTTAGACAACATCATCATTCTTCATTTCCTCCCCATTCAGATGAAACACTGCTAGAGCTGATTATATCACACATCTGACTGGTTTGATTCCATTTATTTGATTTCACTGGGTTTTTTTCTAATTTATTTTTCCATTTCCAACCTCAAATGAAGAGAAAGTGAAACAACAACAAAATGAAAGGACCCAAGGAAAAAATAGCCTCAGAATAGCTGAATAGGTCCTGTAATAGGTATATAATCTGGGTGTTAATGATCTGAGTCATTAGGCATTCAGACAATAAAATTTGAAATAACTGAGTAGCTTGGGCACTGGACCAGGAATACTTCCCAGTCAAGCACCACAATGCTGGAAGAGATTTCTCTTTCTTTTTTTAAAATGTCATATTTAAATTTAGTTTTTTATCTCATGGTTTCACAGTAGAGTAAAAATGTTTGTCTATATTATGAATAAAGAGGGATATTTTAAATTACTGAATCCTTCCCACTTTGTGTTCAACATTATTTTACTGGACTTTCCATTAAATAATTAACAACCTCTAGAAATTAATATGTTTATCACATTATTTTTCTAGGGGTGGAATTGTAGGGTTACAAGCATAAAAATTATGTCTAAGGTAACTGCTAGCTGAGTGGTAGAACTGGGATTTGAAACTCTGGAGTCTGGCTCCAGAGCACATACTTCTGCCCCGCACCCTGCTGAATTCACAGAGGCGTGTGAGAAAGAAAAGCCAGGTTAGTCAGTGTCTTCAGTGAGATGTTTTTTAATTACAGGTTCTTAAAATCCAGTTTTACTCACAGTTAAGACACAAGAGCAAAAATTGTGTTGTTCAGTATATCTGATAAATGTATGTTCTGGAAACCTGTGTAATAGTATTTTGTTGTTTTCTCTTCAGTGAGTCGCTGTTTTTACTGGATAATAAAATTATTGTCTGTTTAAAGCAGTTTCTTTTTTTTCTTTAATGGACATAGGAATGATTAGTATTTCTAGGCATGTGTTTCAGTTTTATTATAAGAAATAATAATCACCTCTCTAAAACCTGATTTAAAGTAATCTTACTACTGATCCCTGTCTAGTATACAGAATGATTTTATATATACATGATAATAGGAAACACATTTGAACCTTTTTGGAACTTGAATTTTTATATAGACTTATAACTTCTTAGGTTGGTTTTTCTGTTGGTTGAAATAGGTTGGCCTCATTATAAAGAGAATTTTAAGATTATTAGTCCTTCAAAACCTATAAAAAACAACAACAAAAAAAGGAAGTTTTGTGTGGTTTTATCCAAATTTCATAGTTTTTATTTTATTTTATTAATTATTTTTTTACTAGAAATAAATGGACTAAATGACCCATTAGCTATTTTACTGGCACATTAGAAGACAGATGGAATAAATTTGCCACCCAACTTTTAACAGAACACAAAAGAAAGTGAAAGTAGCATATAATGAATTTGCAAATGCTTTTGACATGAATATTTGCATATCACAAACATATGCTCAGCTATGATGCTTTAAGCATTTTTTATTTTGGATTAGGTACTATATAAAATATTTTTTTAAATGCCTGGAAAAATCTCTGGTAGAAAAATTAACTGAGAAAACATTGGTATTGACTTTCTTCCTATGATTACAGCTTGTTAGTTGTGTTTAGAATGTGATAAAAATTTTATTTGACTCAAACACTAAAACTTAGTATCCAACAATCCTGTACTTAATTTTTGTAAAAAAAGTGATTGGGCCTCTTGCATATGAATTGATTGAATTCTCATACATGCACACACACACACACACACACACACACATACACACCACACACATGCCACATGCACACATGCACAGTCAAAGTGCCCAAGGAAACTCAAAAGCTTTTCCTGACTTAAGTGAGATAAATACTAAAACTAACAAAATCTAAACAATGGGTTTCAAGATCATTCAGTAGCGTTACATACATTTCCACTATCCTTCTGCATCTGATTTTGAAAGTCAACTTTACTTTCACCCAATTTTTTATTTCAGTAAACCTCTTTTAAGCAAAGATTGTTATGGGCTTCATAACTGATATTACACTATTTTTTTTTTTTTGTTTCTGACAAACAGGAGAATTCCTCAAGAGAGGAACTCTATCATTAGCCTGTTATGGTCCCTCCCTCCACTCTTGTGTATTTAATCTCTCAAGGTTTCTTTTCTTAACCTAAAAATCTAATTTGAGACTGAAATCCTTCAATAGATACTGTACCATATGTAGTAAGTAGCAGCTGCTTTCACATAATTCTTTAGAAGACACAAATTTAAATCCCCCTAATAGACACTTCAAGACATCCTGCCCAACTGCAGAGAAGGCAAATGTTCACACTACTCCCCCGAAGAAGAGAATGTTCTGTTTAAACACAGTGTTATTTCAGTTAGAATAACTTCCAGAAAAAAGGCACCAGGGAGTTCTGGCTCACAAAAGTGAGAGAAGACTGCTGTGGATTACAACTGATAAAGATCAGCGACAACATTGCGGTCACCTTATAAAACAAAATTAAAGAATTTAAGATTAGTTCCAGAATTACCCCAAATGTTTGAGTTCTTATACTGAAATTTGTTAAAGCCAAAGCATTACATTGTTTTTAGTATTTCATGTTTTGGCCAAGATGATTCCTGCAAAGTTCCTCTGAGTGAAAACTAATTGAAGAACAATTATTTTGATTTTTCTGAAAATGTATGTGATTGAAATTCAGGTTGCTTTCACTGGAGTGTAATTCTCGGGCAAGAGTCCAGAGTCAACAAGCATAGCTAACTAGGCATAAATTTAAAGAGAAGTTCCATTTGGAAAAATCTCAAACATAACTTCAAATATGGAGCTCATGGTCCAATAAGTTTGATATACTGATGTCCTCAGGAGTAAAAAAAAATGAGTTTTGATGCAAAATGTATAAATTAATCATGTGAGTTAATACTTTAAATGTCAGAGGAATTTCTCTAAAAATTAGGATAAGAGGATATTAAATATAGAAATAACATCTAATTGCCAGGGTAATTAAAAAATGTCCTCCAAGTTTCTTTTGGATATTATTAGTTTTTTGTAAAAGAGAGACATGGAAATTATTTACCTGTTGAAAGATTTTAGAACTTAGGTGGAAATGAGCAGCTTCACGTGATGCCATATCAATGGTGTTTTAATTCAGTCTTCATACTTACCAGGAAGGTTACCATCTCTAAATAAGAAGTAATCCTTGTCATCTAGAATTACTTTGCTGCCTTCATATTCTGGGGGATGAAATTTATTTCCAACTTTCATGCTAACAGCTAACCTGTTAAATCTTTCCACTCTTTCTTTTAGAATCCAAAAGAGCTACTACTATTGCTTGAAGTACTTTTCCCTGAGATTTTTCTGGAAGCAAAATGCCCCTTTTGGTTAAAGTTTGGGCTGTACTCATTGCAAAGAATACTCAGTCAAAATGAGGAAGAACCGTTCTAAGTGCCTGTCCTGTCATGCCTCTCATGACCAGAGTTCTTAGCTCATTCTCTCTCCCTCCCCTCTACTCTTGATATAACTATCTTCTTACAATTCTCACCATCTAGAATATTATCTCATATCACCATAACTTTATGTTCAAAAATTTAAATAACTGCCTGGCCAGGGTGGCTAAGTGGTTGAGCATCGACCTATGAACCAGGAGGTCAGGGTTTGATTCCAGGTCAGGGTTTGATTCCCGGTCAGGAATGCCCAGGTGGCGGGCTCAAACACCAGGTTGGGGTGTGCAGGAGGCAGTGGGTCAATGATTCTCTTTTATCATGGATGTTTCTATCTCTCTCCCTCTCCCTTCCCTGAAATCAATAAAGTTATATTTTTAAAAAAAAGTAAATAACTGTGGTACTTCTGTCAATAATGATAATATGTCCAGACTTCTGCCATTTATTCAACAAAGAATCATTGAGTGATTACTCTGTACCGGATTGTGCCTATAGTGGGGGTATATCCAAGTGACCCAAACATCCCCTGTGGGAGCTTCCAGTCAGATTAGCTTTACTGAGCCTTCTCTTACCTGTGACAATAGGTAGAGATTTATTCAAAATTTACTAAACCCATAATTTACGTAAATCCTATGAACCTTTAAAATTAATTCACATGTATTTTCAGCTTATGTACTAAAATTGTATTGATTGGGCTAGTCATTCAGGTTTTGTATATTTTTTAAAAGCCAGTGTGGAAAGCTAGAGATGAAAATAGCAAACTTTCACTACCAGATATGTTCAGGTCCTATAATGAATAAGAATAATAGCTGGAAAGTTTTTTCTTTTTACTATGGCATCCTATTTTCAAATATTATAATTTTTAAATTCTTTTGAATAGTAAGCATTATGTATACAGTCAGAATCTGTGAGTATGACAAGCAGTTGAGGGGGAAAGAAGCCCAAAGAGGCCAAAGCATATTTATTCTGAGATTAGTATCCTGGCCAAATTTCACCCTTTGGTCAGGTACTATTTCACTGAAACTTTGCAGATTATTTGAAGATAGACTAGTAAAGAACAGTAAAGAAGAACTGAATTCTTATGCAGAAAAGTTACCATTTGTTCTGAGCACACTACAATTTAAATCAGGTCAATTGTTGGGTGTACATACCTACACTTTATTTTCCTCTGAGTTTGTAGCGCATTGGATGTGGTAATTCTTCATTATTTCCCTTTTACTTTTTAAGTATTTTTTTTATTTTAAAACTTAAGCAAAAGAAAAAAAGAAAATGTCACCTTCCATGGTTCTTAGCTTTTTTTTCCTGTGTTAAAAGACCAGGCCTTTTACAATAACACCAGCATGAATTCTTTCATGGTATCCCAGGCCTAGCACAATGCAGGAAGTCATAGAAATCTCACAGGAAGTCATAGAAATCTCCTTAATCAGTGAGCCCCTCTGTTTCTGCTCAACAAATAATAGTAACCACCCGAGGTGCTCAGACCAAAGAATTTTGTGTATCTTCAGGTTTAGCTTAGCTTCACAGCAGAAATGGAGAAATGGCTGAAAGGAAACACCAGTGATTATTGTGAAGACTCAAAAGCGAGTTTCTTATCAATAATATTAACACTAAAATTATTTTTTAAGTTGCCCACATGCCATATGTTCTCGGACACCTTTTTATGGCATTCTTCTGGATTTAGATTTTAGAGAGTAGAAATGGTGCCATTTTTCAGCAGGAGAGAATGGGCAAATGCTGCCATCTTCTGGCCATAGCCTGATTGAAATGGGAAGATGGAAAAAACATTTAAGTATGGTGAAAAGCATCATTTGAAAAACAAATCACTCTTCCAATGTTTTTAACAGGAGTGTGATCAAGTTCATATAGATGATGTCTCCTCTGATGATAATGGGCAGGACCTAAGGTAAGCCGTGGCTTTTAGTACGCTATTTCCTACAGAAATTTAGCTATGGAGTTTTGCACATGTAATTATTTCTTTTATCTCTTTTTAATATATTTTGGGTGTTGCAGTACCTACAGTTTTGCAACTGATGGCTTCCATGCAGCTGCAAGTAGTGCAAACCTTTGTTTGCCAACAGGTGTAAGAGGAGGGGTTGACTGGATGAGGAAGTTGGCTTTTCGTTACAGAAGAGTAAAAGAATTATACAACACCTACAAGAACAATGTCGGAGGTATGTGTGGCTTTTTAATTCTAATAAAGGCACTCTAGATAGAGGTAGAATTTGAACTGTAGTTCCATGTTCCATATTAGAGATTGGCCTACTATGAAATAAGTTATCAAGCGCTCATGTGACCTACATTGAGCCAAAATATTAAGTTTCTGAGAGTGGGTAGAGGGGGTGGAGACCTGACAGCAAAATAAAACGTGCAGCTCTGTCAAGGGCATTGGGAATTCATTATTCCCAGGCGCTTGGTCAAGACTGACAGCAGGACATTTAGTTTACCTTCTTCAGCTATGATGGTGCCAGTGAAAACCAGGCAGAGGGACTTATGGAAGCAGAGGGAAGACCTGTTTAAAGACGAGAGCTCCAGTCATGGAAACAGAGTTGTTAGCAAGCATTCCCTTGCTGGAATCCTACCAGAAATAAATATAAACAAGTGCTTTTTTTTCATTTTGAAAACTTTAAGAAGTCTCCCTTCCTTTCTGAGATCAATTTTAAAAATATATTTTAAAACCTGTGACTTTAAAACTAAGATCTTGAATGCGCTTCTCGATATCATACACCTTGATGATCTCTACTATTAGAATCAATTTTAGGTCAGGATCCTAAGATTAGCCATGAGGTCACATAAAAGGTTTCTCTCTGGGCTTTGTTTTTCTTTTTAAAAAATGAAAAAAAGAATGATGAATAAGGGACATAAGCCAGAATTAAAATGGGATGATACAACTAAATATACTTGTGCATACTATACATATGTATATGTACATCCACATACATGTCATTGAATACAATATAGTAAATAAAATGTTTACCCATATTAAACACACCTATACTCATCATGAGGGTGGAACTGTGGGTCCATTCACCTATATCCCAGTGCCTTGCTAGCCTTAAGACACATAACAGATGCTCAGTAGATACTCAGTAACTATAAAAGAAGAAGAAAAATACAGACCCTAAATAATAATGTTAGACACCATAAGGAAGGTTACATATGGACAACCTTCATTTCCAAATGAGCAATAGGCCCTTGCAGGCTACTGGCTTGCCCGGAATTTTAGGAGTGCAACTCAGGTTTCCTAATTCATTCTAATGCTCTATATAAGACACTTCGTGAAATCAAGTAAATAGGTATCCTATTTAAAATCAATTGTGGGTGATATGTTTAACTTTAAAATAAATATCCTTTTGGAAAAATCTGAATTTTTATCACCCAGGTATGTTATTATTTCCTTCTTGAAGAGTATTATTAAAATTATTTCAAAGTTAACAAGATTACTAATAAATAATCATATATCTTAAAAAGTTTAAACAATGGCATGAAAGTCCATTTCTTTCTTTTTTTCTTTTTTTTTACAATTTGAAATCTTGCCTTTATTTTTCATGGTTGTAAACACTTTGCCAACATCACAGCTTCCTGTAAATATCATAGTTAGTGGCTGCATATTGTTCCATCATAAAGCCATGACACAACATATTAATTTTTTTCTTCCTTTATTGATTAAGGTATTACATATGTGTCCTTATCCCCCCATTGCTAGCATCTCTAGATTGGGATAAGGACTATATATGTGTTCCCAGTATTCTGAAATACAATTAAAATAAGAATTTTTCTTTGTAATAGATTTACATGATCTTGTTTTGCCATAAAAGGAAGGACTTAAGCAAAAAAAAAAGGCTTTTTTTTTTTTTTATCATAACATCAACATAGTTTCAACCATTGCCTGTAACTATGTCATAGATTCAGGATTTTCAACACAATTTTTAACTTGTCATAAAACAAAATATTTCTGACAGCTTTAGTACAAATATTAGAAACATTCTATAAGCTACATGTGATAATGCCATCATTACTGTTTCAGAGTGGTAATGGTTGTGGTTATTTAGAAGCTAAACATTTTCAGACAGCCAAAGCATTTGAGGTATGGTAACCCTTACAGGAAGCTGGTAGATCCTGACCTCTCCTCCAGACCTCTTGCATCACAGCCTTGGAATGGGACCCAGGCAGGGGAGTGGTCAAAGCTCCTCAGGTGATTAGCATCTTCTGTGCCAGATTCTAGGTTCAGTGAGGGCAGAAACTGTGACCCATGGCCCACCGTTGCACTGTTACATCCCAGTTTTCAGCCCAGTACCTGATATCTAGAAGTTGTTCAATAAATACTTATGGAAGGAATGAATGAATAGATAATCAATTCTGAAATGAAGGATAATACTACTATAAATCAGTCTCTCTCTCAATTTCTGATATCGGCTGGAATAAAAATTATCTAACCTAGACAGAAGGGAAACCAAACAAGGTGTTCCTGGATAAGGTTCATCTCCTGACCCTGCTTGCTTTCGGTGTTGCAGGACTGCTTGGCCCTGCCAAGAGAGACGCGTGGCTGCAGCTGAGGGCCGAGATTGAAGGTTTGACAGACTCCTGGCTAACAAATGCACTTAAGTCTTTATCAATTATTAGTACTAGGTAAGTGGTATTGTTGTAGCTTCTATATATATTGTATTGTTTCTATATATATTGTCTTACTAGCACAACATACATAAATATGTTTTACTTTCTAGACTATTGTAGTATTTGAAGGGACTGAACAATTCACTGTGTCCAATGATTTTCAGTGTGTATGTGTTTGGGGCTAAAGGATGAGGGTTGCTGCCTCTCAGAATAACCAGGAGATCCCATCTCTCTACCCTTCTCTCCTCATAACCACTAATCCCCACAGAAGAGCATGTGATTTCTAATTAAAAAAAAAAAAAAAGATATCACTGTTGGTGACGAAGTATAGAAGATGATGGCAAAAATAAAACCACTGTCTATGCAAAGGGTGGATGTTTTAAGTCTTTGTGTCATTGTAGATAAAATGCATGACTTAAATGCATCAAAAAAATGAAGACAAAAACCCAGCCGGCCTAGCTCAGTAGTTGAGTGTCAACCTATGAACCAGGAAGTCATGGTTTGATTCCCGGTCAAGGCATATGCCCAGGTTGCAGACTCAATTCCCAGTGTGGGATGTGCAGGAAGCAGTCGATCAATGATTCTCTCTCATCATTGATGATTCTATCTCTCTCTCCCTCTCCTTTCCTCTCTGAAATTAATAAAAATATTTTTTTTAAAAAAAGGAAGAGAAAACTCTTTTAAAAAATTGTAACCTTTGTGTTGTTTGAACTACACAGTGAAGTAATGACTTGTTAGTCTCAATAATAGTATTGAATAGACTTATAACTAGTTGAACAGCATGTGCCATAAATGCTAATGAATAAAATAATGTAAATCTGGAAGTCTTAGCTAGCAAGGTGAGGGATGAGTCTTTGTACTATCCTGTTCCTTAGTTTTGTTTCTGAGTAAGAGGAGTAAATAAATGCATGCTTAACAAATTGTGGATAACACAAAATTCAGGGGGGAAAGAGGATGTTTGGGCTGGTTGAGTCAGCATACAGGAAAACCGTGGCAGGGTAGAAGGAGAGTCCAATATTTGGAACATGGAAGTAAAGGAGTGTGTCAAATCCTGCGCCAGGTTTCTAGCCATGGGCCATGACCAGCAACTGCACTGATAACAGAAAGGCTAAGTGGGGAGGGGAAGGGCAGTGGCCCCCTGGGTTAGGCTGGGGAAGCCAGGACAGAGTACTCTGCCCAGATGTGGGCACCACATTCCAATGGGCTGTGACATATTTGAAGCCTCTTGTTTCCAATGGCCAGAGGCTTTAGGCTGTGGAAAGCACATGAAAGGAACAGTTGGAGGGAGGAACCACAGAGTTTAGTCTGAAGAAGAGTCATGTGTGGAACAATAATACCAATTCAACTACTTGAGATGTTAGGCTGAAAAGAAATCACATTTCTCTGTGTCTGTGAAGGAGACAATTAGGACTGCTGAGGAGGAATCCTAAGAAAGGGTGTTCTTGCTCCATGAGAGGAAGAATTGTCACAATTAGAGGTTGCTTTTATGATGATACTTGCTGCCCTGAGATCTCCATAACTGGTGGTACAGAGACCAAAGGTTAAGAAAGCTGGGGGGGGTGGGGGGAGGTTTCCTGAAATTCCATATAAAACAGAGTGGAATGTGTATGTCTCTGGGGAGGAGTTCAACAGCTTTTATTATTTTTAAAAAGAGGTCTCATAGATAGTTAAAAACCAAAGGTTATGACATTATTATATAGATTCTATGTGTGTTATACATAATATAATTATACTAGAGACCCAGTGCACGAATTCGTGCACAGGTGGGGTCCAGCCAGCCTGCCCCAATGGGGGCCGATCGGGCCGGGCTGGTGATGGGGAGGAGCCACAGGTGGTTGGCTGGCCAGCCTGGCCCCTATTGAGGTGCTGGGGGCCGATTGGGGCCTGCATCAGGCTGGTTGGCTGCCGGTCATTCAAGTTGTTCCACCATTCTGGTCATTGGGCTTTTATATATATATATAGAGAGAGAGAGAGAGATTATTATTGAGGTCAGGTTTCTGAAAATTAATATAGAGAATGTTTTACAGCCCTCACCAATATGTATTAAAAACTCATGATACAGACGAACAGAGAAAGGTCCGTAGCTATGTGCCTTCTGATTCCCAATTTCACAGATGTGGCTGTGAGCCCCTCCAAGTAGGATGGCTCAATTTCCCATAGTCAAGAAGGAGGACCACTGTCCCTTCTTCCTGGGTCTCTGCCTCACAGCAGTCTCCACTCTCTTGGCATTTCCTTTTTCTCCCCACCCCAGTGCTACCATGAAAGAAATAGCTATAAATTGCAGAATGAGAGATTCTCACTCTCAAAGGGAGGATCTTTGAAGAGGACTAAAACTTCGGTCGTTAATGCAGTTGCCCTTTATTGTCACTGAAGAGGAGATTTAGGGATTCAGCCCCTTCTGTACTAAATAAGGATCCTCTCCAGGTTTCCTTCTTCAGGATCCATCATCTGTGCTATTTCTTGTACAAAATCCCAAAACTCCTGTCACCCATCCTATCACCCTTTTTCTGCCTATGTCCTCTACTTTCCCAGGGTCTGAACACACAGGGACTCAGAGTCTTGTCACCCTAACCAATACCTGCTCTGGATACATTTAAAACTTAGAGTTAGGCCATTCTCCCTCTCCTAACCTTGTCATGGCTGCTAAAGGTTGAGGTAGGTATTCTCTGAGGTTCCAAAGGGACCTGACGAGACAGTTATTACAGAACACATTTAATATTGGAAGGTGTCTTATTTACTTGTCTCTGTATCTATCTTCTGATCCAGAAGGGGAGAAAAACACTCCGTACATCTATGACTTCTTTTTGCCCATTTTCTTCTATTTCCCCATTTGGGGATATATTTCTACCACCTGCCATGGTGCCTGCCAGGTAGTAGGCACTCCATAAATAACTGTTGAATAAATGGTTAGATTATCAGGTGCTTTTTACCATGGAACTGAGACGACAGTGATAGTTTAAAATCTGTACTCATAGAGACTATTTAGTATTAGAAAACAAATATGTGTATTTCCTCCCTGTCTTAGGAGTAACTGCGTAAATGTCTTGGTAACGACAACCCAACTGATCCCAGCACTTGCGAAGGTTCTACTCTATAGTTTAGGAGGTGCTTTCCCCATTGAGAATATTTACAGTGCAACTAAAATAGGTAAGAAAATTATTTCTAAATCGGTATGAAATGTGTTCACTTCTGTGTTTGGGAGGATTTCCTTAATTCGAATCTCTGCATGATTCTCCATGTCATCAATTTTGCTGTTAGAATATCAAGCACATTTGGATAGTACTCAAATAACAAGTCCCCTCCATCTTACAAATGCAAATTTTATAAAACCTGTTATCTGAACCCAGCAACTGGGTAGTACTGACTCATTTTATTATATACATATATATTTCATCATGACACATGTTTTCCGAATAATGCACAGTATCTCTAGTCATGGCATATAATATTTTATTTAGCATGGTACATAGTATTTTATCCTTGTATATGTAATCTAAATCTAACATAAAAATACTGTTTTGGCAGGGGAGTGTCAGATGGCTTGAACTAGTGCCCTTAATTCCAGAAAAAAATAATTTCATGAATTAGAAAACATAATTGGAACATTCATAACACATGAATGGCAAGAAATCCACATTTCCAAAAATGTTCAGTAGCAATCAAAGGATGACAACCTTGCTTATTTGTTAATATCGATTTGTGGAGTCATCTTTTACTTGAAGTGCCTTTCACAGACTAAGACTTCTAGTTAACTTTCAAAAACAAAACTTTATCAACTTCTGCCATCCTGAAAGAGTTAAATAAAACAGGTCATGTATTCTCTGTCTGTCAAGGAAATGCCTGGGGAAATAGATGGGTTGGGTAATGTGCCCTGAAGGTCAACAAACTTAGGCTCTGGCACCTCGACAAGAGAAGTTCAAAATCCTAAAATCCCTTCCCAAAAATAACCCACCCTGGGCCTTGCAGAGTTTTGATACTGACACAGGCAAAAGGAGCCGTAGTTGCAGCTGTTTGGGGAATGCAGTTAAAGAGAGCCCCAGGCTTTGAAAAAGTAAATTCTACGTTGTCTTAAGCACTGCAGTTCAGAGCCCTGATTTCAACCCCATTCATTTTTGTATAAATGTATGTATTTATGCTAGTAGGATTAATATATAGAATTTTGTGTTATGAAATATCAAATAATTTTATACCAGGAAAACATTTCTTCTAGTAAGGATAATATTTATTTTTTGGCCAAATTATTTCTAATTTTTTATCTGAAAAAAAATATTTTTATATTTTCCTTTAAGTTAGTATTTTTTTTGGAACTATCAGATTAAGAACAAGTATAGAAGTAACCATGACTATATGAACATTCTGGGAATGAAAATCAGAGAATAATGCCAGTGTTATAAAACTGAAGAACGTGTAGAGATCCTGCGAGTTGCCCCCATAGTGCAGTCAGAGGATACAGTGTCACCCGTGCTGTGGGCCACACAGCATTTTTAGTACACTTAATCTGAGCAGACTAGCTCCCAGCCACTTGAAGAAAAAGTTATATGTTAAGGTAAATCCACATCTTAGTATTCCCTCTTTCCTAATAGGTGAACCTTCAGTAATTCACAATAATATTTTCAGCTGACCTGTCTATACTATTTAAAATTAACTGGCAAAAAATGCTACATCTAATGAAAAGATAAATGTTAAAACTTACAGTTGTTTGCAAGGGTGTTCGATATGAGTGAATGATACTAACATTTTCTCTGGGTCAAATGCTTGACCCTACAGCTTTTTTTGAAGCATGGAACGTATTTGTTTGATCGTCTGTCCCCAAGTAAAGACTTAAACTGTTCAAACGTATTTGTTGATTTCATTAACCCAGAGGCTGCAAGCTAGTTTTAAGTGATTGATGTTCAAGAGAAATTAACTTGCCACTTTATATGAATCTTTAGGTTAATGAATGCAATGGCTGGAAGAATAAGCAGTGCATTGTTTTTCAGGCAAGGAAAGCTGTTTTGAGCGTATAGTGTCCAGATTTGGCACTAACATAACTTATGTTGTGATTGGAGATGGCCGAGATGAGGAGCATGCCGCTAACCAGGTAACTTCACTCTGAACTTTATCTCATTTATCTTCCAGGAAAAGAAAGTTGCTTTGAACGAATAATGCAAAGGTTTGGCAGAAAAGTAGTATATGTTGTAATTGGGGATGGTGTAGAAGAAGAACAGGCAGCAAAAAAGGTAACCTGTCTCAAACAATGTTGGTGTGATACTTCTAATGCAAGCTTTTTCGTTTGCATTCCTGTAGTTTGGCCCAATGGCAGCTTGATAAGTGATTTAAATTTATAGATGCAAAGCAGTAAGAGCATGAGAAGGTCAATACTTACATTCAAATAAACCATTTGGAGTCTAGCATTTTTTGCCTGAAATTTTACAGGAAATGCAGGAAAATTTAGTTATATTTATTTGTGTGTGTGTGTGTGTGTGTGTGTGTGTGAGAGAGAGAGAGAGAGAGAGAGAGAGAGAGAGAGAGAGAGAGAGAGAGGAATGAGAGAATGATCTATAAGAAAGAGGGGGGGAAATAACCATTTTAAGCACATGATATTTCACAATATAAAGAAGTTTAATGAGCTTCATACAAAATCATGGGATTCAGTTCTTACCCTTTGCCCCATCCATCCTCTATGCCATTTGTTCCCTGTGAGTGCCTGGTAGCAAGTATGCTCCCTGATGACAAATGCTGAGGGTAGATTTAATAACCGAAGGAGAAACTGTTATGAGAAAATTTAATAAACACTACTGGAAAGGGATGTACTATTCAGATCCTTTTGTGCCAACTTGCAGAGACTTAGAGGCAACATGCCTCACATCTTCTAGAAGCGTGTTGTCTATTTTGGTGAGCCACTGGCACGTGATTGGAGCCAAGCAGCTGGCTTTGAACATATTCAGAAGTTCTCCTGGGCCCTAGGTATTTAAATAAGCCTTTTCATCTGGCCCATATTTCTGAAGAAGATATCAAGGCAGTTAAAAACCATTAAATGGTTGGTCCAAGATCAAAAGAGGAATGATATCAGGATTGGCCCAGACACCAGACTGTCGGTCAACACAACAGAGACATACTGCTTCCTTTTCTGAATGATAGCAAAGCTATCATCTAGCCAGGACAACAGTGATATCATTTATAAACAAAGCAAAATGATGAATTAATATTTGGAAACAATGACACATCAGCTTATATTGTTTCAATAGAAAGAATGCTGTCCTTTTTATCCTGAGGAGATTTCAAATCATCATCTAATAAAGCCTTCACTAAACACTCGCATGTGCTGAAGTGTTTACCTGATCCCCCCAAATCAACATAAACAATTTCCTAGAAAAGTTTAGAGCTTTCACAAAAAGAGAAAGGAAATGATTTGTGTGTGTAGTCAATTCAAATCAAGCAAAATGGAGAAAGAGAACGAGTTCCCACTTTAAAAAGGTGTGCTGACGTGTTTGGCAGCCATTAACACTCAGAGAGCCTGTGCAGGCTTAGCCTCCCACAGAGGGCCTGGGTCTTAATTGGCAGTCAGTGGCCCTAGACAGCAACTGACCCTTTGGACATTCTGTATGATGCGTCAGGGATGCAGTCTCCAGAAATGCAACTTTCATTGCTGACTACTATTTGAAATCCTTCCAGCTGCACACAAAAGAAATATCTTCTGGAGTTTGTCAATGTCCGAGTCCATGTTGTTTTGATCTTCATGTTGATACCATAGTAACTCACAACAAATAGCAGTCAGTGCAAGCCACTACAAGTGAACATTTTCATGTCTTTTAGCCTATGCGACATTCACTTATATTTGGGTCAGGGCAATAAAATTCACTTTTCCAAACCAAAGACAGTATATGCCTTTGAAAATGAAAACTTATACCCTAGTTGTTTATGGCATGAAAAGTAGATTTGGTGTACCCGTTTCTTGTAACCTCTGCTTTACACCTAAAACTTCAAGAGAAAAAGGATGATCCAGGAGGATGAGAACCTCGGTCAGAATGCTATTTCCAAATGGTTGTTTATGTAGGTACAGTGTTGGTGATGGTGAAGGCTTATAATTCTATTTTGAAACACAGGTGGTTGGTTCCTCTAGTGACCATAATGCATGCTTTTCTTTGAATGTAGCTGTAATCGCATGTGCAGAAATATTAAGTACATTTTTATTATTACAAATAGATCTGAGCTGAATGAAAAAAATGTAATTCTAGTGAATTTCTGTGTTTAATTTGATCTAAAAATATAGGGTGTGTTTTTTTTGTAAAATGAAAAAGAAAATTTAAAGTTTAGGAATAGTAATGTAGTTGCATTCCCCCATAGAAATATATAATACAAACGATATTTGTAATTTTAAATTTTCTAGAAGCCATGTTTTTTAAAAAAAGTAAAAACAGACAAAATTAATTTTAGTAATATATTTTAATCCAATGTACCTAAAACATTATGTCTCAACACCTAACAAATATGAAAATTATTAATAAGATGTTTACATTCTCTTTTTTTACATTCAATATATATTTTGAACTGAACAAGCCACATTTCACGTGCTCAATAACCACATGGGACTACTGACTATCCTTTTAGACAGCAAAGAATTATGTAACAATAGTGATTATTATTTTAATGATTGATTTTATAATAAAATGTATTCTTCACTTTTTATACAACTGTATTTTCATTATACAAAATATGTTATATAAATATATATTCTATAAGATGCCATCATCCAAAAATTACAAGTAATGCTTTGATTTTAATTGCTCTAGTACAGTGTTCCTTTTTTTCATTATCCACAATGGAGTTGTTTTATACATGTTTTTTTCTGAGCACATCCCACTATGAAATTTTAAGCCACACAGACACCAGATACTGGTATATTTTTGTAGGGCCACAAACCATTGTAATGCCTAAGAATGTTTGCCCCAGAAGAACCCTTTTTTGTCCCTTTGCCTGTTTCTCCCCCCGTAAGAATGATTGCAAGAGTGCTTTCTCTCAGTCCCATACCAGTGAAATAAATTGGTCAACTCTTACTGACTTAAACCAGTTACTCCAGAAAAGTAAGAGAGTTGATCAACTCCACATTATTTTCAAACTTATATAGATCAACTTCAAATTATTTTTTACGTAGAACGGGACTCACTCTTTTCCTCTCAGAAAGACAAAAGACCTTAGGCTTAGGAAGTTTATCATGTTTAAATTTTGTTTTTAACTGAGAGATGGAACTTTAGGAGTGATTAAAACTTGCTTTCCATCAGCCACATAAGATTTTGATGCCCAAATTGCTTTCCCAGTTGCTGCTGTTGGTAATGATACTTCCTACAATAAATAGTAAACTACCTAAGAAACCTCTATATGTACTTTTCCTATCATCAATATCCAGTTCAGATCTATTTCTCTATTATTTTGACAATGCCATATTGATACTACCAAGCCTTAGAATATGATCATCCCTCTCCTAGACTCCCTTCCTTGAACCTGGGTGGACTACACATCCTTGTGTGTACGGCTGCTTCATTGAGACCATAGTCATGATCTCTCTCCATCCCCTCCCCTTCTCTTTCCCATCCCCCCTCTCTTAACCACACAGCACAACATGCCCTTTTGGAGGATATCAAGTCACTCAGACCTCTTGGCTCTACATCAAGCACTGGAATTAGAGTATTTGTAACTGTGTTCTCTAGCTGGAGATCCATTTTTTTATATATTTCAAGTACACTGAATTTTATGTGTGATTCAATGCCTCTGGCTTTACACATATAAATTGTCTTAAAGGATGAAATCATATTTGGAATGAAAATTCCAGAATGAAGAATTCAGATTGCTGAACGGGATTAAACTTTAGTGCTACAGAAAGGAAGCTCTATGGTCTTATATTTACAACACGTTAATGGTTTAACACAACAAAACAAAAAATATCTGTGGAGGTTGCTGGTACACCGAATGAGTCCTAACTGGAATTAACAGTTTTAGCAAAGAACTTTTACCCTGGCAAAGCACCGACACGTGCTCCGTCTGACAAGGTGGTGTTCAACAACATTCCTCACAACTGGAGATCTTCTCAGCCCTGAGGTTTGAATCTGACTTTAGCCTACCTAGCCCAGAAAATCTGAATTGGAATGCACTCAGACTGTATAAGGACAATCCTATCTAGACCTGTAATTTGTGTAAATTATTGATGAAGATAATTTACTGTGACTTTATTAGCAGCTGACTTTGAAAGTGGATGCAATTTTTCTTTCATTTGTTCGGGAGGGAAGCGGGAGGGGAAATGGGAACCTAATATTGTCTCTTTTTTTAAGTTTGGCAAACAGAATGTTCATACTGATGTGTTGTGCCTTAAAGATAAGACAGCATTTGTGTGTTACAATGTAACTTTGGTTAAAAAAATCTCTGTAGATACTGACAAAACAAACCTTTGTGATCATTCTTAACATGACCAAATTTAAAATTCAAGCTATCAAAGCTTAATACTGCATCAGCGAGAAACTGAATATCTGTTGCAATAAGAAAACAATACTAATAAAACAAAGCTTGTGTTTTATTTGGGTTCTTAGTAATTCCAGTAATTGTATGAGGCAACTATTTGTGCATCCAACCATAAGCAAAAGGTTTGGGAAAGACTGTGGGACCTTTACTTAGGAAGTGAAGTGTACGTTGAAGTCCTGAGTATCCTTTCTACAGTTTTATTGGGGAAAATTAAGAGCCATATTCATGATGACTTGCACTGTTTTGATTGTGACTTTTTTATAAGTGTAAGTTGTGTAGAGGAAAATATTCTCGTAAAAATTATAAGCAAGTATCACATAAACTTTCTTAGAATATATGCCACGAACATGGCTTAAAATTTACATTGAGTAAACAAGGCTTAAAATAAAGCTAAGTGTATTTATTCCCAATGCCATTGCAAAAATGAAATGTCACCAGTAGTGGGAGGCGGATGCCCCAGATGGTTTCTAAGGGAAAAAGTGAATCAATGAAAATTTTACCTAGAATATCATCATAAAATAAATTAGCAAGTGAGCCGGACCTTGGCAGCATTACTAAAATTACAACAGTGAAATAGTACCTGGTTCTCTGTCTTTACACATCAATCAAGTTTTTCTCCATTACAGACCTACATACCTTAGTTTCTGCCTGCACTGTTACTGCAAAATGGACTGCATTCATTGCACAGAGAACCTGCCATTGTTGTGTTTGCATGTTTTGTGTTTGTTTTTTTTTCTTGGTGCGTAGCCCATGTTAGAAACACGGTACAGGTTCTCTTATCATTTTGTGTGACATGATTTCCCTTGTGGAAATTTAAGACTTCAGGATCTAGGTGTGTTTTCATGACGTCTGCACCTGCCGTTCTGTGTTTAAGTGTCATACTGTGGAACTGGGGTCAGCTACCAGGCAGCGCCCTAGCCAGACGCTGATTGGGATAGTTCACCGTCAGAGGCTCCAGTGGCTCCCATAAGGTCAGTGCTCTGCACGCTGATCACAACATTCACTGTGCAAATGTGATTTTCTTTTCCAGGCTACGAACCTGCATTTCTTTACTGAATGCAAAGACTATGTTTATGTTGGGCAGAAAGAAATTGAGTTCCAATTTTATATAAGCTTGTGATTTCATCACTCAGAACTTATACTTACTCTTTAAATTGTGTAGCTTTTGGCTACCTCTGCCCTAAGTACAGTTGCAGACAAATTAAGGTTGGAATGCTTTTAATAATGATAATAATAATAATAATTCTTAATTTTTGTTAGCCTGTAGCTTGAAAATAACAGTTTAACAAATTAAAGAGCTGCATTGATTATCAATAATTATATTTTGTGCACTAAAACCATAAATATTTATTACAGTGAATAAAACGAAAGTATCTTAATGGTATAGCCAGTTTCTTTAAATGACAGAATGGTGGCATTACATCTAAATTTTTAATTCTTTCTCATATCAAACAAGCAAGGCTTCTTATGCTGCTAAACCTGCAGGTGCAGAGAGGGCAAAGAGAGGGGTCGCTGGTTGCACCACCCAGTGCTATTTCCCACACAAATCTTCTCTGATTATGTGTTCAGAGAGGCTGCCAGCATAAAACCTAAATGCTGGGTTAAAGAGAAGAGCTTGTCTGGCACCATGGAGCAGGCCAGTGAGCCGACGTCACAACTTGTCATGCGACTTTGAGCATGCTCAGATTAGAACCCTTCCCTTCCCGCTTTAGTAACAGAAGATCCTCATCCTTTCTAATCCGAAAAAAAAAAATAATAATCAACCAACAAAAAACCAGCCCCTTTGGCAATATCCACACTCTATTTACCTATAGAATATTGTGCCTTTTTGTAAGCCAGTTTGAAAAATATTCTTCCACACACAAAAAAAATTGGGCTACATTATATACAAATGTGGCATATGACTAGGAAAGGTAACCATCTTGTGTTACACCTGAAATATCAAGATAGATGGCCTGGGTATAATATTACAGCATACAAATTAAGTCACTATACCCCTCAAAGGTTTGTAAATCAAAATCAGAGGCAAAAAAAAAAAAAAAATAGAATCATGCAGTTTGTGCACAGTAGATAATAACTTTCTAAAGTTTTTTTCTTCATTTTGATGAGCTAAAATGCAAAATAGTGTCAACAGCATGCTCCAGTATGAATTATTTTAAAGCTCATTTGTTTTTGACAAGCCTATATTCTCAGTGAATATGGCATTTAGCATTTCTTTTAAAAACACACTTAAGCATCATGAGCCAAAGTTGCATTTTGACTCCCTACTATGGTAGCATTATGGAGATCTCACAGTCAAAGGCAAGGGTTTCTGTTATGTATTAGTAATGTATTGATTATGGGGGCCTACATAATTTAAAGAAATGTAAATTAATATTGAAAGCTTGTAAAAATATGTACATCTTTACTATTTCTCAATAAATACCTTTGGAAATGTTTTCATTTTCTTCACCCTCCCATGTTGTAGAGTTTTTGTTGTGTGTATTTAGCTCGATTCTAAATAATGTGAAATTTGTATTTAGGTTTCTTGATGTATTATTACTTTCCCTTTTTTTGTGTGTGCCTAAATTGTATAAATTTGCAGTTAAGACAAGCTAGGATATGATACAGTAAAGTGTAACTAAATGTGGGCTGGTGTACTAAAAAGATGTGAGTTGAATAGTTTTTTGCACAGAGGTACTACATTCAGGTATAATGCATAATGTAGTCATAGTTTATTCATGATAAAGTAATACCTTTTAAAATATTTAAAGCAAGTTCCATTGAGATGAATATGGACATAGTTTATAAGTAGCTTTCAAGAGTGATAAGGAGCATTTTTCTGAAAGAAATTCGACAGCTTCTTTATTATCCTGTGTGTAGTACTCGCAAATCTGTTGCATATGTAAACCAACAGCAAATTTCAGACTGACCTCCTTCACAACTTTTAAAATGTTAGTCTCTGAATTGAATAGGTCCTTCTCTCTAAAATTGTACCCTAATACTTCTACCATTTCCCTGCTTTACTGTTAAATAATACTTAATCCTTAGATTTATAAGTATCCAACGTGACACATATTTTAACTTTTGTATTGGATGACTTACCCACTAGGATGTATGCTCTGTGAAGGCAAGAATATCTGTTTTGTTTTGTTCACTTCTGTATAACCAATTTCTAGAAAAGTGTCTGGCATATGGTATGTACTCAGAAAATATTTGTTTTATGAGTGCATAAACCATAGAATACATATATAGGCATCGTCTGGAATTAAAGAGATTTACAATGGTAGAGCTAGATTTAAAAAATGAATAAAAGGGGAGAACACACAGGTAAGTTTGGATGGGACTAATGTAAATGCTTACAAATTGGCTGGAGTGTTTGCTGGTCTAATAATTTACAAAAATAAAGAGCAAGGATGACTATAAGCAAATATGTATTTGGAAAAAAAGTTATACATGAACTAAGAATGATCTGCTGGGAAAAAAATAAGTTTACAATTAATGAATGATTGCTGCCTCTGCCCCTCTTTTATTTTTTATGTAAAAAAAAAAAAAAGCATGGAACAGACTGAGGAATCTCAGAGGGAAAGAGAAGAGGGGTTGGGAAGAGATTAACCAAAGAATTTATATGCATATATGCATGATCCATGAACCCAGATAATAGTGCTGTGAAGGCCTGGGGGAGAAGGGGGCGGGAAGAAGGGAAATCTGTATTACTTTCAACAATAAGGATAAATGGAAAAAGTAGTATGCAACATCAGTAGTTGCTTTAAATTACTTAAAGCCACAAAATATCACAAAAATCAGATTTGCTTGCCAACTGTGGTTCACGATTCTGAGTCTTAGAAACAAAACAAAAAAAGAAGGAAGAGAGGTGTATGATTTCCCTTAGCTAGCCAAAGCTAACCCATCTATGCATGATTTGTAGTTTTTAAAACTCAGTTACAGGATGTAATGGTATAAAAGTGCATATATTCTCATTCACAGATCACTACTTAAAGCAGTCTCAACTGTGCCTGGGCCAAAGTCAATTCCAGGGATGTATTGTGGTGCACAAAGATGTTCGTTCCCTCAGAGCATCAAGGGGGAAAATGTTCCAACTTCTGACTTTCAATGCCTCTCCCTCATCCAGAGAAACTTCCAGGACTGTCAGCACACCATTTGAAAAATATCCAAACATAATATGATAGGGGACCTCTGATATAGCAGATGCCTCCATACAAGCCAGATGATTATTTTCCCTCCCCATGAAATATTTCATTCGGGGCTTGGGGGGGACACTCTCTCTGTGGCTAAAGGGCACTTGGTAATAGTTACCCTGGTAGAGATTGAGGAATCTAAGAGGTTGGCGCAGGATCCCAGAGAGTTAGTGATTGATTCCTGATGGGATGGCCATAAGCCTGGAGAGAAGTGTACAAAGAGATGAAGATGCTGATAATTACGATGTAATATATGCTGCTGCGTCTCATGTCCTCAGGCAAAGCCAGCCTGACCTCTAGGTTTCTGGTTTGGAAAATTTGGTACATGAAGTGCAGTTCACAGAGGTCAGCTAAATAAGAAAAAACTGATTCTAGTTGTTATTTTTATTGCTGTTGGTGGTGTTTGTTATTGGGAGGAGGCATGGAGTCCAGTGTTTGAAAGTGTTCCTTTGCAGGTGGTGGACGGCCTCAGAATTGTCCAGTGGGAAGATGAATTTGTACGACTCCTTCATTCTTTGTTAAACACCTTGCCATGTCATAACTGAATTCTTCTAAGA